GACGTTAAGCAGCCTTCCAGCATCATCTACTTGATCATCATCAATGTAAGGTAGCTATATATATACTAAAAACTTTATCGTGTCCCGCACTTTTCGTTGTGATTGAGCTCATACACATTTATGCGAGATTGTCCATTCATTTCAAGACCCTAATTCAAATTTATCTAGTCAATTCTTTGCATATAATATTAATAGAGAATTTCCAATACTTTACAATTTATCTGTAACAGTTGATAATATCATTTGTTTATTCAGACAATCGAAATTGATTTATTCTTAATCTTATATGTTTTTTCTTGAACAATAGAGACATATGTTTTCCTATGTTTTTATTTTTATAGCAAATATTTTTATTTGCTACTCTTTATACATATCAAGCTGTAAATGATGCATATTCTTATATGCGACGTTTTAAAAGATTCTATCTGAATTATTATACTCCTCTACAGAATTACATACGGGGACGCACAGATACTGTTATGCAAGTTAAGCCAAGAATTATTTTCGAATCTATTTTTATTTTTCTCAAGTTTGTTGCCTATTTGAAATTATATATAAATATAAAATATATTGTTTAAAATTTGTATTGTTAAACTCCGTGTCATCCTAGGTGCAATTGCACAGAATCGCGTGTTTGACATTTTCGTGAATTGTCGTCTGCTAGCCAGAAAGCAATTCATAATAGTTGATATTAATAATCCAACTAAGACAGGCGCGAATTCTAAATAATACCTTTTATTTATCGAAAAAGAAAAAAAAAAAGATATTGTCTAAAATTAATGATCAGTTGATAAAAATAGATAAAATCTTTTGATAAATTAAGTCTCCTGCGAGAAAAGAACAAACACCTATTGTACAACTCGCGAAATAGTAACAGATAAAAGCCATTGTTATAGATAATCTATTATTAATATATCTTCATGTAATTAGATTAAACCCTTAATCACCCTGTCGTGGCGACAGTCAATTCAAACCCAATATGCTTAATACGCTAACGCGAAAATTCATCTATCATTTGAAATTCCAGAACCCCAGGAAAGGAAGTTCTTATGTATCTATGATATATATAATTAATTTTGTCGTTTGATTTCTTTTATTGTGCGTGTTGTAGGTACCCCGACCTAAAGGCACTTGAAATTGATTTATTGTTATCCGATGATCATCCGGGTAACCACAGTTATGTCGATTTCAAAGGTTTCGCCACATCGAAAGAAGATTCATAATGCTTTTGGAAGATATTTTCGAAAAACACAAGATATATTTACAAATAAACACAATTGTGTGTGAATTTTAAACTAATTCATTGTCCAGTGACAAAGTAATGTAAATTCTTTGACTCATTTTTAAAATTTCTTAAATGTACGTTTATATTTTATGGCTCATTTGATTCGTGAATATTTGTGGAAATAGGTTAAAATTCGATCATCTGTGCTTCTTAGTACGTTATATGTTTATGTTATTTAAATGTATTTCCAAATAAATTCGCAATTGAAATGAAAGTCATCGTTACGCACGGAAGAAATTTCCTGTTCTCAGGGTTGTGACGTATCTTGAACATTAAAGGTACCAGTTTTGCATTTTTTTTTAAGTTTTAGTGACAAATTTTTATGTGGGTAGGTGTACTTTAAGATAACTTCAAAAATATCACAAAATGAGAACATTTAGTGCATACCTATCTTCGTCTTGAAATTTGATGTAGACATTAACTTATTATGTCTTTCTACAGTAAAAGATGGCCCTCAGAAATATTGTGACGAGGTTTATTCAACCAGAGGCCTCAGTTAGATGTTGATTCTTAAAAATACTAAAGATCAACTGCAATATTTCTTCAATCAATTTTGCAGTAAGATCAAAACTTTTGATTTTTCTACCATTTACACTATTATTATTCCCCACGCTCAAATGAAACATCGAATACATCGTCTCGTTAAGCAGATATTTTTTACCTTAAAACATAAGAATCGTATAGATACACCGTGATTTCTTGTTTGAACTCATGAAACATTTTACTATGTCAATAACCGTAGTTATTCCAAAAGGAAATATACCGAAGGATATATCACCAAAATGATGGAATGAAACTAACCCGAATAATTCAGTCCCTCCCCGTGATCGACTCTCCCACTCGCGAGTTAATGTAGCCATCGTAGAGCAGTGGAATATAACGACTGAATTATTCGGGTTAGAATGAAACCGAAATTTGTCAGCTTTATCTATAGGATGATAACTATAAAATTTGTGATTTTCGTCAAAAGTTTGTAATAAGAAAAAAGTCTCTCACCGCCTCATTCTGTATTTACCTGTTCCAAGGCAGGAGCATGTAATTCAGTAGTTGTCGTGTGTTGCTGTATATCATATTTGTTCTTCGTTCATTGTTTTGCCCACAGTGTGTCAAGCTTTAAATCGCCCCGAGTCTAGAAAATAGTTGTGAATAAGGAATGGAACTATCAAGAATTTGCAATATAAACCAAATTCACTGTGTGACAAAAATATAAAAATAACACAATTTTATTACGCATATATTACATGAGATAACAATTGAGGCAACCAAAATAATTCAGTTCCTCTCCGTAATCGATTTCTTCTGCTTGCGAGTAAATGTAGCCATCTTAGAGCAGCGGAATCTAACGACTGTATTATTAGGCTTACAACTTAAAGTATTCCTGACTTGGGACAGGCAGATGAGCATATGACGGGGTTATTCTATATTTTTCACTTTAAATTCTATCCCTTTTAATCAGGATACGCAGAATAACAAAAGATTTAAAGAGAACGTATTACTAAGAATAAAAATCAGTACAGAAAAAATGATAAATTATTCAGAAACTAAGGTTCCAAATCCCTCAAGCAAGTTTGACCTTAGATGAATTTGGCTTTTCTGTCTTATTTCCTTTATGGTCACATAGCCCGACGTTTATACGTATTTATACATCCCTGACTTCCAAATGTTTGAATTTAAGCGTTCTTTGTGAATGTAAATTAAAAGCGCTTCGGACGCACGAAATTTATAAAGTGTTACAATGCGAGTAAAACAATAATATGAATAATAATCTCGTATGTCGGAGAAAACTCACATCTACTAAACACTAGCTCAAAGTGTGCTCAATCTACTGATATGAAAACTTGCTGGCCTCTATATTGCCATTATTTGCACTAACTTCATCCCCGCCATATTTAGCTATAATGAGACACTAAACATTGATTTTTCCATTCGGAATTGTGAAATTCTGCATTTTAACATTAGGAATTGTTGAATACAAACAAATATAATTTTTCATAAAGAAAGAAGGAAGTAATTTAAAAACACGAAGGGAACGCAAAATAAGATACAATGAATTTTAAATGTCATAAAAACAACAGCAACATGTGAGTTGGAAGACATTATGTCATATACATAAATAGAACTCGGAAATCAAATTAGAATAAGCCTTCACAGAATAATAGCGATAATTTCTATACATGCATTTTAAATTTTAGGATCCTATCGGATTCTCAGGCTTATTAACAAGTAAGCTAAAACAACTCATTATTGGCGCTCAAATCAAAACAGTTGGAAAGCCAAATCAAATACGAAGTTGAAGAGCCTTGAAAATGAAATATTCCAAAAACTTGTGCCAAAACTGGCTAAGTTCTTTTATCTTTGGGGGTAGAAAAACGTAGGGGTTTCGAATAATTCAACATTTTATATACAGTATATTTACAGAAAAAGACCATATCAATGATATTACATGGTACCACACGAGTGCTGACTACTGGCCTGGTGGTACATCCGGGTACTTTACTTCCATCAGCAGTGGCATCGACCTAATGGTTGTAAAAAGTAATCGATGGTATCAGTCTAATATTGTCAACAATAACTGTTATTAACTATGATCTGTGATTTATGCAATTTATATGCAATTGGTGATGAATTTCACTATCAGTTTAAAGGTACTTTTTCTCAAATTGAAGAAATAGGCGTGTGCCCTGTAATGTGTATAAGAATCCCAATACTACAGACTAGTGTCTACTTTTTTTGTTCTGATGACTACATTTTACTGATCAAACTGGCAAAATTTTGTAAAATTGTTTTGTCTGTTATAAAAAGGTTTGCCTCCCACTGTAAGTTCCATAAACCATGTACTTTATACCATTGTATATGTAACCATGTCATTCCATTAATTTCCATTGTTTTGTATATATGTTATTGAAAGGAGGTATAACTAATATACGTCCTTGGTTATTGTTATGAATAATATTCACATACCGCTGATGGGGTCTTGAAAAATAAAAGTTAGCACTTGAGATCACTCATAGTTTTTTGTGGGGTTTTAGTTGCTCAGTCTTTAGTTTCTATGTTGTGTTTCGTATACTGTTGTTTGTCTTTTGGTCTTTTTTCGTTTTTTTGCCATGGCGTTGTCAGTTTATTTTCGACTGATGAGTTTGAATGTCCGTTTGGTATCTGTCGCCTCTCTTTTTCAAAGTTTCAAACAAGAATACAAGTATATAAATATAATTTTAAGAGATACATGTACCTACAATTGTGAATAATTATAATGTTGCTGATCCTCATTCGAATCGCCACCCTCACCTATACTGATACACCTTATTTACCTTGTCTATAGTCTCTCTATTAAGTTATCATAATTAAGTTTATTATTCAAATAAAAGTATCTGGATTGCTAGTCATAAAGTTGGATTGTAAAAATACATATTGAGAAGCGAAATATGCCATTATAATTTTAAAAAGTCGAAACACAATATTTGGAGCGAAGTGGAACAGTTTTCATGTTTTATTTACACCCCTTAGTTTTCTACGATCAACATAATATATCAATTGCAAAACGATAACAGAAAAAAGGCGGATTTGTTGACTCGAAACTGGTTTTTAAATGTATCACAACACGAAAAGCACTCATATATTGAATATTATTAACATTATTGGTCATACATTAAAACAAAGATATTTAAAAAAGAAAATAATCAACAAATCAAAAGGATAAAAGAAAAAAAAAATACATCATCCACGGTGGGATTCGAACCCACGACCTCTGGATTAGAAGTCCAGCGCGCTATCCCCTGCGCTACGCGGACATATGTATAGAGTGTACATATTTAAATATTAATACATGACTTGTAAATTAACAACATGTACCCATAATTGACAATAAAAAACTTTGTATATTGTATACCATACAGTTCAACATCTGGTTGCAATTTCATATAAACCTACATATCAATACTTTATAATAAAAACATGTTTTGTTGAACTATATTTGAACAAACAGACTAATCTGTTTTGGATTTATTTCAGCTTGGGAATTTTGTATGAGATGTGTTTCATATTTTGGATCGAGTCATTTGGATTGTTTACACAGATCAAGATAACGGTTTTTGTTGGACAGTATAAATTTGCGCTTATTTCTCTGCCATCTCCAGGATTTTTTGAAAGGGGGCGTAAATCTATAAAACTGTATATATATATACTGCCGAGTGGAGCGAAGCGAACATTTTTTGGACGATCTTATTCTAAAAATTATAAATTTTCCAATCAGTCAAAAGGGGGTAATGTTACGCCTAAGACATGTAAGAGTAAGACTACGCATCCCTTAATTGATTCCGCCACTGATATCTCCAGTTATAACTAGACTTTAAAAATTGTAATCTCCATTCATTATTGATATTCTGCATTTAAGTTTGACATTTAACTGTATATCGTATACATGTAAAATGGCAACCGTGATGATCAAATTTATGTTATTTGTCGTACGCCGGAGTGAAGAATTAACTTACAATATTGAAACATAGCAATAACTGAAAATATACGAAGGAAATACTCTCACGGTAGGAACTAACTTAAAGTTAGCATGTCATGAAGACATTAATTTATTATAAAAAGGAAGCATTTTATATAAATAAATAAAATAAGAAAAGTTGAATAGAAATTAAGTGAATGCAAATTATTAAATATGGTAATCCTCTTCCATGTAATCATGTTAGATGTTTCAGTCTTTGAATTTTTTGTGTAGTTTAGCTGCTGTCTTCTTGACTTAAATTTTACATTTTTTAAATTCATATTAAGGTAGATCGGGGGTCTTTTTCTCAACATCCCTTCTGCAGTTTGTTCTGGGAATGTTGCAAAATTACTTTTTTGGTTTAAAAGATTTTACCAAGTATCATTCAGTTTACAACAGAAATATCTAAAACTTGAAATTTAAAGATTAAACTATCAAAAAATTAAAGTCTTTAAACGTATTAAAATCTTTTTTTAAATCGAGGGCAGATAATAATATTGAATTTGATACAGGCCAATTTGTGTTTTATTGATTTTTCAGGAAAATAATGCTAGTGATCCCATATCTTTATTTGATATTTCGGAAGTATTTATGAAAAGCAATTCTTTCATTAATTTTTAACCCATTCTATCGTTTAATGATTTCTCAATAAGGAAAAAATGAATTTACCCTGTATAACGCATATTACATAACTGTGATTTCGTTAATTTCAATGTATTTTAACGAAAAAACAAGGTCCGTGACCCCAGTTTTTGTATTGAAATTTGAAAGTACATTAATTAACCTAGAAGTCTTTTACCGAAGTTGAAGAAAAATCTATCGTCGAACATTTAGACACTCCAGCTACCTTAAATAAACAAGATTTAGTTATTCACGCCTACTTACAAGGTAAGACATGGTATTTGATTTCCTCCTCAGCCTCAATGTTCTTTTTGTTCTGACTTTTAGGGATGTCATTGGCCATTGCCTCATTGACACTATTTTCTATCCATAATTTACTTTGTTTTTTGAAGCTGCTTTAAATGTGGCTTATACTAATTGAAGTCACAATGGACAACCTTTGAAATTTCTTCCAATTATAATTATGACCGACATCAATATACATATTTGTTTTTCGTTTACTGTTTTGTATAGTGTGTTCTTGTGTTGTGCTGTTGCACCACTGTCTCATGTTAGGTGGAGGGTTTGGCGCCATCTAACTAGTTTAACCCCGCCACATTCTGTATGTGCCTGTCCCAAGTCAGGAGCCTGTAATTCAGTGGTTGTCGTTTGTTGCTGTGTAACATATTTGTTTTTCGTTCATTATTTTGCATATAAATTAGGCCGTTAGTTTTCTCATTTGAATTGTTTTACATTTGTTATTTCTGGGCCTTTTATAGCTGACTATGCAGTATGGGCTATGCTCATTGTTGAAGGCCGTACGGTGAACTATAGTTGTTAATTTCTATGTCATTTGGTCTCTTGTGGAGAGTTGTCTCATTGGCAATCATACCACATCTTCTTATTTTTATATGTATATACATGTATGATAATGATTCTCTGTTCTGTTTCAATTTTGTTTTTGTTAATTGACCATACCATCTTTGTATGAACATACACTATTCTGACTTAAAAACACACATTTCAAATAAATGTTTTAACAAAAAATATTATTGAAAATCAAAATTAAAAATTTTCAAAATCATCATAAGGAATGTCAAATAATTCTTGATTATATCGTGCGAATTGTTGTGAAATAACGATGGTTTACATCCGCGTCATTGGACTCCTGAGGAAAGATGTCTCATTGGCGATCATTCCACATCTTCTTATATAATAAAGAACGATGTTGTAGAAATTTTGAGATTTGTGAAATAAAAGGGGGACTATTAATTTTATGTAAATGTAATGCTTATACTTAAAAGTACTAAACAACGTGAATCACGATATTTTCCACTGATCATAGTTGATGTATCTATTTACTCCGGACAAGGCGAGTTTGTCGGATGAAACCGATTTCCGCTTCCTGTTTACCTTAATATCGGTCGATGGCCTTGGATTTCGTTTATCTTAATGTTGTCCACTTAGACAGTAGACTCGGTCATGTTTCTAGAAAAATCTACACACTTGGGATTAATCCGTTTTTTATTTTTTTTACTTTTTTAACGTGTCTGTCAGTTTTAAAAGAAGAATTTACTCCCACAAACAATCTTATTTTAGCTGTATTTGCGACGGAAGAAAGAATCGTATTCCATCCCAAAGGCAACTTACACAGAATGTATCGTTTACATCTTATTCATGAAATGAATAAATTAATTCCGATCTTCCAGGCAAATCTTGTCTCAAACATATGCGTTGGCTCGTTTATTTTTAATTCAACAGACAGTTAAGGTAGAATAGTAAGAAAAAAAACGAGGAAATCACCAAAGACAAAATATCACGTTTTCGACGAGTTTCATATTACTTCTAGTATAAGAATTGTGTTAGCCCTAAACGCCTCAATTGACAAAGTTTTCTTAGGTTAACAATCTGCTCTATCCCCCTCTCATCTATGTGTTATTTGTATATTGATAGTCATCTTTGTATAATATTCATATTTTTACCCATATTATTCTCATATCATTCATACCAGAACTAACAACCAATGTCAGATTTTTTTTTTTTTTTAAAGATTTTTATAGTTTGTTCTAATGCTGTGCTGTTACACCACTGTCCCAGGTTAGGGGGAGGTTGAGCGATCACAAACATGTTTAACCATGCTACATTCTTCATGTTAGTAGCCTGTAGTTCAGTGGTTGTCGTTGGTTCATGTCTGTCATATGTGTTTTTCGTAATTTATTTGGTTATGAATAAGGCCGTTAGTTTTCTCGTTTGACACTTTTCATGTCGGGGTCCTTTATAGCCGACTATACGGTATACATTTATGTGGTCTGTTGTACTTTCCAAGTATTTTTGGATTTTTATAGATTATCGTTGGTTATCTCAACGAGATTGCTTTTCTCGCTTTCGCCGGTACGGTACGGCGAAAGCGAGAAAAGCAATCTCGTTGAGATAACCAACGATAATCTATAAATATCCAAAAATACTTGGAAAGTACAACAGACCACATTAACCACAAACAAGGCACAACATCTGGTGGTGTTCAAGTAATTTTACGTGCGCATTAACATCGGATTCCCATTTTTGACTATCAAGACCATATGCAGTAAAAAATAAACACATAATAACAGAACATGTCAGTGCAGCTACCAACAGGAGGACGACTAACTAACATCTCATTTGGAAAGCGGTGAGGAATTGCACTACTACAGGAAGCTAGCTTAGGTAACTACAGCGCAGTGCGCAGATTTTGTATCTTAAATTAATTGGCCAATCCTCATTGATACGGTATGTTTACCTTGACACTTAAGCTTGTAATATGAGTTATAGAACAACCTGATATCTTGAAAGAAGCAAGAACGCAAGGGTTTTCACAAACATTTTCAAAATTCAGATTGTACTTTTCCAGCAGGGTGTCAATATGGTACTACAACGTTATAACAATCAGAATAGAAATATATGATCAAATGTGGTATTACAGGAGCGGATTCAGACGAGCGCGCCCGGCGCGCGATACCAACCCCCAACTCTTAAAGGAAGAACAAATGTAATAAAGGTTAAATAATAGCTAATTTTTTGTCAAAATAAGGTCCTATATATTCTGAGGAGCACCGATATGAACTTTTAAGTTACTTAGCAAGTTTATGAAAATGTAAGGCAAGCTATATATGAAATAAGATAACAGTAATATTAACAAACGTTTCTCATTTATATTCTCATAACACAATGAAAACGTATATATTCATAAAATCAATAAACAAAGAAACTGGTGTTGAAATTGATATTAATTACTTAAGAAACACTCATTTGTCATCTGATGTGCCATACATTCACCCAGCATAGCGAAGAATATTATACAATGTTCAAGTTCAAGTTCATTAAAATTGTTTTCTTTTCTTAAACTTTGAGGTACTAGTAGGTTATTCCATATTTTGCAGCCGTGTAGCGAAAAGAATTAATGTCATAGCTTGTTATTTTTTACCTTAATTGACAGTGGGGCTGTTCAACTGTATTTTTATATCTAAAGGAATATTTGTGATTTGTGATATATTAATGAAAGCATGTAGATAACTATGGTGTATGTTGCACATGCAACTATTTACGTCAGCATTTTTAGTCTGATTTCTTTTTTTTAATCACTAGCTGCTCCTTACTGTGACACTGAATTATAGCTATCTTCTTTTTTTTTATATTTCTGCTCATTTCCTTAAAATAAGGAGA